AGAGGCTGGAGTCTGAGACAGTGTCTCACTTCGACACAGACACACACTCACACATGATTTCATATTATTAAAGGTGTCACCACGCTCCTCCAGAATTAGGTTGTCAATCATAGTGGCCGTCGTCCATGGAGAGTAAAAGATAGAGATGAGTCCAGCCTCTACCCTCCATCTACTCTGCCTTTGTCTTCCCACCATTCAACTTCAGTCTCAATCTATCTGCCACCTTTACATTTCTCTCTTTAAATAGAAAAGAGACTGCGTGCATCCCCACCCCTGCCTCCTTTCCTCATCATCTGCCTCCTCCTCATCTCTCTTCGCCTCCTTTTCTTCCCTTCATCCCTTTCTAACCTACCAAAATATCACAATGAATTTTTATCCTTTTTTGTTTTACTTGCTGTGTCATTGATCAATGCGGCCAAAATGCCAGGCCTCCATCACCGCAACATAGTGTGATTGTGGAGCTTTGCTGCGGCCCACTGGAGCTGATCTGTTTTATCTCAGCCTCTTGGGCAAAATGTCACTCCAGGAGAGAGAGGCTAAACCAACATATGTCAGCCGCCCTGTCATCCCTGGTTGGGCTGCGGATGGAGGGGGAGGAGGGCTCGCTTTTGACGAGCTGCTTGGTCACGGCTGAACGGTATCTGATGGAGCCATGGGGCAGAATCAGAGTGAACAGAGGTGGTAGTTAGAGAGTACGAGGGTGGATGGGGGCTTGTGCGGAGTCACCATGTTTGGTGGTCCATCTGCACAGCGCAAAGCTCTCTGACATTACAATGTCGATTAAGCATGACCTGTCGGGGCAAAGGGGAGCGAAAGATTACTGTCTATGCTTGCACAGCCGACATGTGTTTGCGTAACCTTGACCAGATGATCAACTGTGTGATCTGTTCTTTCAACATGCATGATTAATAGCTTCGTTAATATTGATATAGACTATATTGAACAATTATGTAATCAATTACCTTGATTTAGTTTTAAATACTTCCAGATGTGGTACCAAATTGCTTATTAGAATTTTTTTTATTTATCATATTTGTCAAAATTGGATATTGGAGTTGATATTAGATATATAATCGTGCAGTCTTATTTTCCCAATATTTACATTTAGATTACTTTTGCCATCATCTAATGCTCACACACAGTTAATCGTTAAAAACACTAATAATTTAATACAACTGTTAAATGTAATCTCAGAATTAATAGTGACTTTACATACTGTACATTAAAGGTTGTGATGCCTAAATACACTAGCATTTTTAATGATTGGTTTTAATATTGTAGTAATATTTTAATATTATCCAGTTATCACTTAAAGCAATAAGCCCCAAGAAGCCGTGGTTTACAGTGAATTTATAACAGCTAAGTCTTGTTAGGCACGACGCGAAGTGGAGTTTTAAATTTTAAATTCACTGTAAACCACGGCTTCACGGGGCTTATTGCTGTTATAAAACGGTTATTCCATATACGTAGTACGGTTTCACAAAATAAAACAGAGCAAATAAAGTGTAATGATATTAACAAAAACAGTATTCTTCCACCAAACAATGTAGTTCCTCAGAATCAGTTGTGGTTGCAACAAAGTGGTTGCCAAGCAACAGACAAACGTAAACAAAGGTGTATGTTTGTCGACAGCTTCAAACTGTCACAAACAGGCAAGAGACAAGAGGAGTTCAGATAAACAGAGGGGTTTATTGTCAATGCTGTGATGGTTAGGATCGAAGGCAGGTGAGTAAGAGAGATATGAGAGAGTTCTGGGTATTTTAGCTTCTTGGTAATCTGGGTTATGATAGTAGTAGGAATCCTGGAGATGAACCGGGGTTGAGGAGAATCGGAATAGCGGAGACTGAATGGACTTCTGGAGGTAAGGAAACAACAGTTAGTAAAGCTTGTAAGGAGTCTGGAAATGTTCGGGTAGTGAACGGTAGACTGGACACTGGAATGCTGAGTGGAGTGAGAAGATATAGCAGGCTTAATTGGTGATGCAGGTGCAGGTGATCAGAATTCAGGTGATTGGGATCTGGTGTGTGTCGGAGGAGGTGACTGTGCTGACGTGAGTGATTGCGATGATTTCCTGACACAAACGTGGCTCAGCCAATCAGAATCAAGGACCGGAACTATCCGTTTTATAATGAAAAATAGATAATGAAAGGATGATTTTAGATATTTACCTCGGCATTTGTATTTTCACAGTTTTTACTTTAGATTACCTTTGCCGTCATCTAACACTCACTTACAGTTAATCATAACACTATTAATGTAGTAATACTGTTAAATGTAATTTTTAACAAATCTCAAAATTAATATCCATTTTACACACTGTACATTATAATGTTGTAATGCCTAAATCCACTTGTAGCACGTTAAATAACTCATTTTAATATTGTAGTATTTTAATATTGTTCAGTAATTGGTTATTGATAAATATTAATGATATGATGATTTTAGATATTTATTTATAAATTCTTATTTTCTCTATTTTTTACATTTAACTGGTCTTTGCCATAATCTAATGCTTACTTACAGTTAATAATTAAAACACTAATTTAATAAACTGTTAAATGTAATCTTTAGCAAATCTCAAAATTATATCCATTTTGCATACCATACATTTATAATGTTGTGATGCCTAAATTAACTTGTAACATTTTAAATGACTTATTTTAATATTGTAGTATTTTAATATTATCCAGTTATTGGTTATTGATAAATATTAATGATATGGTGATTTTGGATATTTAATTAGAGATTCTTATTTTCCCTATTTTTACATTTGTTACTTTTGCTGTCATACCATTTTAAGTGACTGATATTAATATTGTTGAATTTTAATATTGTCCATTTATTGGTTATTGATAAATATTTATGAGATGACAACATTAATGAATGAATGGATGAATAGATGAAAGTGCATTGCTTGATGCATGTGTTGTAAGGTCATCCCAGTGCCCCTGTTTGAGTACATTAGTGTAAATGAGGTAAAGTAACAACTATCTTAAATTTAGCCTCTTTCATCTTCTTTCTTTACTATTTCGACAATTTTTCCAGCAATCCTCCTCCATCCCAGCTTTCACTTTTCTCACTGTGGAATTATGAGCTTAAGTCAAGACTCTTGGTTAAGCCTCTCTATTACAGACAGCAAGTCCATCCTGTCTACCAATTTCCACATCACTCTTAAACATTAGCTGAACATGGGAACTTATTATAAAGTATATTTAATATCAAATATAATCATTTCACACGTGCAAGTAAGCTGTCATCTTATGCAATACTTTGGGTGTTTTTGACAATGTATGTGATATTAGCATTACTCTGGCTTTACTCAGATATCATGTGAAATGTGTTGAGCTGAGCACATGCTTTGGCATCGTTTCTCACCCCTCAGCCAAACCCCAGAAGCTGCCTGTTCTCTTACAATACAGCGAAAAGCAAATAATTCAGAGCCAGATTAGAATTGAATTTCAATTTGCTGGGAAAACTCTCCAGTCTCCTTTATGTCAATACAGGGCAGGTTTCTGTTCTCTGTGAAATAGACATTCTGCCAGCCTCCCTTGTCTGAGCTGTGGAGCACAACAATACAGCAGACCCCCTCCTCCTCATCTCTTCGTTTTATTGGTGCATGCAGATGTTCCTCCGTTAATGGAATCATTCACATTCTTCATTCTAGGGATCATGTGCTGCTCTGTGCTATTAAGAGTTCTGAGCTGCATCTGATCCTGACTACTCTTCTGTTATCTGTAAATGACAAAATATCTCACAATATTTCACTATTAAGATATCTGTAAGATATCTCACTTGATAAGTAGGCCTTTAATTTGTTTTGTGTTAGCTAATCGTACAAAGTGAATATATTGACCTGATATCTATTACTAGAAAAGGCATTGTCCATGTTTACATATGCTGTAGCTCATCAACATAATTTGTTGTATTTTGAAGTGAGTATATATATATATATATATATATATATATATTGTGGCGAGTATCCCGAGTCCAG